CTTGTGCTGTGGGATGGTACAAAAATGCTGAATATGAGTGTATGCTGTCACTGCTTTAGTGCATGTTAGATATAATCTGTCATACCTTGGTACATAATTAAACAAAAAGGAATGTTTAAAGCAGATAGAACTGTATCTCTTGACTGTACTTGTATCAGTGAAAAAAATCTGTAGCCTGTGAAATGTTTTGGAGAAGCCCTTTTAATTGACTAATATGATCAATTTATTTGTGAGTATCTGTAATCAGTATTGTTTCCTAGAAGCCTCTAATGTAGAGTGCAGTGTGCCTAGTATCTTTTGCCTTCAAGTCACATTATTTTGCTTATTAATACAGAGCCTACTTGTGTCAGATTTCATGTTGTTGCATTGCTATACTTGGCTGCTCAAGCAACAGTGCATAATCAGAAAGTTTTACTCCAGCAAAGGTTTCTGACAAAGCAGGAGCAGAACGTAGGAGATGGTGAATGCCTTCAAATACATCTTACCTGAAAGAAAGTGGCAGCCCTTTTGCACCTGATCCTAGCGCTTGCTGATTGGGTTTGGTACTAGTGGAACTACTATTTGCAGCAACTATGGATATATTCAGTATATACTCACTGTGCTTTTCTGCTTCTCTGGATGCCCAGCTGTGATATTTAGAAGTAATCTCTGACCAGTTGCCAGATACCATATAGATTGCTTCCTGGAGATCAATATCCTAAGCTGGGGGGACTGCACTATTGGTTCAGCACTTCTGCGTGAGTGCAGTTAGTTACATAGGTGATCCCTGTGTTTAGATACTCTTTCATCCTTGATCTGACTAAAAGCGTCTCTGCTAGGGATTATCCTTCCTCTTTACTGACTAATTTGACAACAGACTTTATCCATGTCTTTTGAGATAAAGGTTAGAGGCACAGGGCTGCCTGTTGGCATTCCGAGTTCTGTAGTGTTGGCTTTTTGTTTTTTGTTTTGTTTGGATTTTTTCTTGGTGTTTTGTTTTTTTTTTTTTTGTTTAAAGTCCTTATAATGTAAATTCCATTATGAAGGATACAAAGGAAGCCCCCACTGCAAGTATTCTAATCAAAGGAGGGCTCCCCTAGTGCTACTGAGGACACAAAATTGTGATGAGCTCTGTTCTGTTCTAAATTACTAATTGACTTTTTCTAAAGAACACCTACTAGGAATCCTGAAGTTTTAGGGCAAATGCTAAACAGCAGCTGTTTTGTAATTGTGCTTTGCAGTCTGCACTCCTCGCAAATATCTCTTTTGAATAATAAGCTGGAGACACTTTCAGTTAAAAGCAGTGCAGATCAGAGGAAACTATGTTAATGTAAGAGGATAGGTCTTAAGCTCAGAAAAGCCATGAAATTTATGGATGAGTTTTAATAATTCTCCCTCTAAGGTTCTTTTATATATAGGTATTACCATGGCTTGTTTTATGGCATGAGAGGCTGACATGCTGTTGTAAGCCTTCCATGGTGAATATCTGCTTATCAGTACACAGAGAAAGAAGTAATTACAGCATTAATACTGAGTTTTATGTTATTATTAAATCACCACTTGGATAGAAGCATAACTTTCATTTAAAAAACTGTTTATCACTAGTGAATCAGCATTGATGATCATTTTGATAATTCAAGAAATTTACCGGTAACAAAACTTTCTTCTGGCCAGAATCAGGCCCTTTGCCAAAATCTTAAGTGGACAACAGTTGCTGTGTATAGACAAGTACACATACCTGCTTCTTTGCCTGCATTTAGTATCTTTCATTTTATTTAGCTAATTCAGTGGCTTGTGTGGACCGGTGTCGAAATGAGTATGTATTGCTTACCCCAGAGCACACACTTCATATATAATTGATATGAAAAATTTTATATTATTGCAGAATAGATGTATGGTGTTATTCTTTGGTGTTAATACTGGTTAGGTGTTTAAAAAACATAAAGACGTAAAAAGAGTCAAAACACTGGTAGGAGGAATACTTATAAACAAGAGATAGGAGAGTAGAAATAGGTTACAATTTTGAAGATGTTCTCTCTGAATAAGTTATTTAACACTTTAAATAGGTGGCCTGGTTTTCAGCTCTGTCAAGCTGATTTAGAAATCATATTATAGGTTTAGGAACGTAATTGAAAGCTTCATTAACATTTTTGTATAGCTCTGTCCTGGGTTCAGCAGTAGCAGTCATGTTTTTTCCTTTGTGTTAACTGGTGCAGTGCTGTGTTTTGACTTCTAGTTTGAGAACAGTGTTGGTGAAGCCGATGTTTTCGGTTGTTGCTAAGTGATGTTTACCCTGACCAAGGAGTCTGTGAGGCTCATGCTCTGCCAGGGAGGAGGGGAAGCTGTGAGGAAGCAGAGACGGGGCGCCTGACCCGGGCTAGCCGGGGAGGTATTCCATACCACAGCACGTCATGCCCGGGGTGGGGGGTAACTGGGAGTTACCCGGAAGGACAGGAGCTTCCGGGTGGAACTCGTTTTCTTGGCCAGTGGTATCGTATTCTCTTCCCTTGTTATTTTCCCTTATCATTGTTTTAGCTGATAGTAGCGGTGGTGATTTGTTGCTGGACTGTTCTTGTCTCAACCCGTAGGAGTTGCACTCTCTCGATCCTCCTCCCCGTTCCTCCGGGAGCGGGGAAGGGGAGAGCCCCGGTGCAGGGGGGGGGGGAGACGGACACGGACCTTGATTGTTGTCAGCTCGGCACCACTCACTGGAAGTGAGTGAACGAGTTACCTGACTGGGTTTAAACCGCGACAGTTCTTTTTGGCGCCCAACGGGGCACGAGGGGTTGAGATAAGAACAGATCTGACTGGTTTGATAGTCACTCGTCACAATGCTGATTTATTGGCTCTCAAGGTTTTTCCTCTTGATCTCACAGTTTCAGTATACCATATCTTACGTCCATCCGGTATTGGCTGTATTAGTGTTTTTCAAGTGTGGGGCTTGGGCTAAGGTTTTTATCCCATTGTACTTTATGGTAATGACTTGTAATACAATAGAATCATTGATCATGAAACTGATCTGGTTTATGTTCCCAGTGTGGTCACCACCTTTCTACTTTGGGAGGTATATGATGGAGGTGCTTAGCAATTACACATCTTTTTTCTCCTTCTCAGGTGCTCAACCTGTGAAGGAGACATCCTTTTACCCTCCTAGTCGTCCCCCCAGACCATTTACATTTGAGAGTTTTGAATTTTTTGAATGGCCTTTTAATGCTGTTGAGACTTGTTTACTGATGGTGATGGGAATCACCATGCCAACACGCATACAGAGTGTGTTTTGCCCACTACTGATTTCAAGAGTTAAGCAGATTCAGGTTTGGGTCTTGTCTGGGGTCAAAAGACGATGTAGGAGGACCGAGAGATTTTCCCAGAGGCTGGACAGCCATGAGTGGCAGGGTGTGTGGGATAGTATGGGCAAGTATCTAGGTCAGTGGGCCCCTCCAGTACTTTGGAATTTCACTACCGAACAACTGCAAAATCCAGAAGAATTAGTAAAACACTTAAATGAGGTGTGTGGTCATTCTGGCCATACCAGAGATGGACAAATCACGGCAACGTGCTGGGGCTTGGCCTATGCTTACAGGGCCTTGTTCAACACTATCCAGCACCTTCAAAAGGAAAAGAATATCGGCGGATTTGAGGGGCAAGCTCCAGAACACCTGCAATACATTGATGACATTATTGTGTGGGGCGATACAGCGGAAGAAGTCTTTGAGAAAGGGAGGAAAATAATCCAAATCCTGCTGAAAGCCGGTTTTGCCATAAAACGGAGTAAGGTCAAGGGACCTGCACAGGAGATTCCATTTTTGGGAATAAAATGGCAAGATGGACGTAGACAGATCCCCACAGATGTGATCAACAAGATAACAGCAATGTCTCCACCAACTAATAAGAAAGAAACGCAAGCTTTCTTGGGTGCAGTGGGGTTCTGGAGAATGCACATCCCAAATTACAGTTTGATTGTAAGCCCTCTCTATCATGTGACCCGGAAGAAGAATGATTTTAAATGGGGCCCTGAGCAGCAACAAGCCTTTGAGCAAATTAAACGTGAGATAGTTCATGCAGTAGCCCTTGGACCGGTCCGGACCGGGACAGATGTAAAAAATGTGCTGTACACTGCAGCTGGGGAGAACGGTCCTACCTGGAGCCTCTGGCAGAAAGCTCCAGGGAAGACTCGAGGTCGACCCCTCGGCTTTTGGAGTCGGGGATACAAAGGATCTGAGGCCAGCTATACCCCAACTGAGAAAGAGATACTGGCAGCGTATGAAGGGGTTCGAGCTGCTTCGGAAGTGATTGGCACTGAAGCACAGCTCCTCCTGGCACCCCGGCTGCCCGTGCTGGGCTGGATGTTCAAAGGCAGGGTCTCCTCTACACATCATGCAACTGATGCTACATGGAGTAAATGGGCTGCACTAATTACACAACGAACTCGAATAGGAAATCCCAGTCGTCCAGGCATTCTAGAAGTCATCATGGACTGGCCAGAGGGCAAAGATTTCGGAATGTCACCAGAGGAGGAGGTGGTGCGTGCTGAAGAGGCCCCACCATATAATAAACTGTCAGAAAGTGAAAAGCAGTATGCCTTGTTTACTGATGGCTCTTGTCAGCTCGGCACCACTCACTGGAAGTGAGCGAACGAGTTACCTGACTGGGTTTAAACCACGACAAGCTCCAAAAAATATTGTTGGGGAAGAAAAAGGTGGTTGCAGGGGCAATCACTCCTGAGTATTATGTTTTGATCTTTATGGGATTTTGAGCCGCATGGATCAGCTGTGACATCCTGGGTCAAATTTAATCCACAAATATGCTATACCAGAAATCTGGGTTTAGGTTTCAAAGTGCAAAAGCAAAAGACTTAACAAAAGAAAATCTTGATGCCATTATTAATGCGTGGGCAAAACCTACACTTGCCCTGAGATGGATGGTTCCAGCAGTGACTAGCAGTTGGGAAAGTTACAGAGACCGAACCTCATTGTCTGTAGACAGCCTGAATTCACCATGCCTGCAAGCCTATTCTGCACTTGCCTCGGACAGCAACAGGATGATTTGCAAAGGAGACTATTCTGTCTTGTTCTCTCAGTGGTCTGTCCTGTGGTTTGGCTGCAAAGGCGGACAGGATCGAGTAGTTAAGCCAGACATGCAGGGCAGATAAATCGGCTTCTGCATGCAGGGCACTCCCCGTGGTGCATCAGCTACTGCATCATCCTGGACCTAAATGGTGAAGAATGCTTCAGGAGATATGTCTCACAGGCAGCTGGCCAGCTTAGCATTGGGACTACTCTTACACTGCCATCTAATTATAACTGGAAACTGTCTCCATTGAACCATGTCTGACTGGGGGTTCAGAGAATGCAGCATGATAAATTGCTGCTAGGTTAAAGGTCTGGCATCTTTAACATTTATCCACCTTGGTGTGAACAACTATAAAAATCACAAGGCAGTGAGGGCTCTGGTTTCAAAGGGGACTGCCTGCATGAACAAGGTATGCAGGGCCTGCCTCTGTGTGAACTTTTTGAGCAAGGAGGCATTTTATATTAAATTTTCTTTTCCATCATCTGATTTTCTTGCCTTGGGAATTCAGTTGTGAACTGACCCCAGTCCATCATGCTATACATAAATTACTAACAGAACTTTGAAGTTCTTTCCACATTTAAAGAGGGAGTTCAAAAGTATATCCTGAAGCGATTCAGGAGAGATATGTTTCAAAAATTAAAGGAAAAAGCAGGCAAGAGATTAAATATCCAACTGAGTCCTGTATGAAGGAGGACAATATTGACAGTGACTATCAATCATGTCAAAATGTGCTACTAGGCAAGACAGCCTCTCTGCACAGTTATATATACGTGTTTATTTGTAGATACAGATGTGCACTTTCAGGTTTATGCAGACAGGTATATAAACAAGCCTGTGTGTGTTTGTTTTATGGAAACATTAGTAGAACTTTCTAGCTTGTAAGTATGTGAAACTTGCTAGATAGCTATTTGCCCTGTAGGTAATGGCTTTCAGTTATGCCATCCTTACAGTGCTCCCCCATCAGGTTTTACATAAACAAGTCATTGAACATTTTGTAACAATTTCTAAAATGTAAATTATTTACATATAGAACTCTTACTGCTTAGGTGGGTGACTCCAGTAGCTTATAAATACTTTAATAACAGAAATAAATAATTCATGCAGATTTCTTTTTAAATCTGTTGCTATGAAATCCTTTAATATTCTGAGTGAACATGTTCTAGGGATTGTTGGCATTTCTTGAATGTATGTAGGATTATTTATTGCGGTGTCTAGTTGAAAACTACTTGCATGGGGAGAGCCCCCCAAACTAAACAAAAACATTTCATGACAAATAAGTTCTCATTTCAGTGATTTACTTGGGCTCAGATTTAAGATTGTGGCCTATTCTGAACCACACTCAGCTCATTAAAGGTTCAGCACAAGCTTAGGTACTGCTGAATGCAGGAGGAGTTAATATGTGCTCAAGTGCTTTTCTGAACAAAATGCCAGGCTTCTACAGCCTCTAAAACTCCTCCCTGAATGCAGGTTTTATGCTGCAGACAGAACAAGCTGCAAGTGCTACTGCAGACTGTTTAGCTGGAAGCTACTTGCACCTGATGTGGCACGCTCCTTGTTCAGGGAGTTTAAAGGAGGAGGGAGTGTGTGGAATTGCTATCAGGTTTCCCTCTTTCCAGCTTTTCTTACTTGCAAAGCCCTGCATTCTCATGGAGAGAGAAACCATCAGATGTCAGCATGTCTAACAGAGAAGAACCTGCTGCACTTCTTATCATCTGTGCAGGCCAGAATGAATAGGCTGTCCTTGCACAGTTCTGAGTTTGCTAAATTGCTTAGAAAGATCTGGACATGCCTTACTTCTGTGATAGTTACTAGCCTTTTGCTGTATTCTTCAAGCATTTACAGTAAGTCCAGAGGGATCCAAGCTGGATTTGCAGTACTAAGCGGGAATTTAACTTAACAATTGGAAACCTAGCTGTTGACCTTTTGTTGGTGAATACTATTTTTTCAGGCTGAATGTTTCCTATGTTTCCTTAGTAGCCATATTCTATATGGAGTTTTTGCCCTTCTTTTGTCTCTTTTATGCCTCCCCCAGCCTTTTCCCAATTTTCTCTTTTATACTTACATCCTCTTCTAACTACTCCATTACACCCTTCGCTTTCCAACACTAGAAGATGACTTGCAAAATTTAAGATAGACTATGCATACATCAAGTATATACAGTTAATAAAAATCAACCCAAACCAAAAAAAAGCAAACAAAACCATCACCCTCCCTGAAAAAAAGCCCCAAACCTACCTCCTTGTGTTACTTATCCCAGCCCTAATTCTTTTGGTTTATTTATTTATTTACCCTACTCATTTATTTTCCTATGAGTAAACCCTGCCAACAGAGTATTTGGCTAAATGTGATTCTTATTCTGAAACAGAGTGAAAGATAGATTTCTTTTTCTTTAAAGAAAGCAATTGGACTAAAATTCCTCCAAAACCAATGTTGGAAATACAAAGTCAAAGTAGTCTAGTAACAGTTAATCTGTTTCCATCTCCTCAGACTTCTAAAATGACACAATAAGCAAATAATCTGTCCACTCTAATGCCTTGGGACATGTTGGCACACAGATAATTAGGAAGTTATTTTCCAAGAGAATGTCACTGTGGTTTATGTAGCCTGAATATGCTAGACAGAAGGACTGCCAGTGATTCAGCTAAAGATGTGAGCCAATGATGTGCTTGTTGAGAGGGTTCATCATCATTATGAACTCAACAACAGATCTGTTGCGATGTTAGGACAATTAGGGTGATGATATGCTCCTTCACAAATGTGCAGAATCATTATGAAAAGGGAAATTGATGAAAGCATTAAAGTGAATGTAAACTTGAACTGGATTTTTTAAATTAAAGAGGAATTTCCCATGAAGAATTGCGGGACTGGTCTGTTACATTATACATCAATCAAATATTTACAGAATCTTTTTTTTATAATGAATATGTTAACTACTCTTACACATTATTTAAGTATTGCTGATTATTTACTTACTTTTTACCTCAGATTACTCAATATGCATCCGAGGAAAAGATCATGAGCATCTGAAGGCACAATAGGCTTTCATTAGGGTGAAGATGGTTTTATGGTAGTTTCCTATCTGACTGTCTTTTCATTTAGAGGCTATATTGTAAATAAGAATGAAAAACAAATGGAAATAACTCTAATATACTAAATAAATAAAGTGCCTCTATTTGAAACTGGAATCTTCCATAGACACTTTGTGTGGAATGTTTTAAAATTTGTCAGATTAATTCCTGTCTTGTTTCATACTGCTGGTAGAATATAAGGCTCTGCACTTCTCTCCTACACTTGTTCTCTGCTTTGGACCATGAGCTCACTGCATCCAGAGTAGTATTTGATACAGAGGTGCCACTGCTTACAGCAATATGTAATCAATCCTTTCTCACAAGGTTGCGCTTGAGTTTCTGTTAAGCTGCAAGGAAACCATTGTCTTTGAATTTTTGCGGTGGAGTCAAAGGTAAAATGAGAAGGTAAAAAGTGTGCTTGGTTTGTAACAAAAGAAATGTGTAATTTAATGACATAACAGGAAGTGATTAGGTTGGAAGGGTTAAATGTCACTGTTCCTTGGAAGGGGAGTAGCAGGGAGTGTTGGCATTGTCAGCATAATGACATGGCCAAGTAGGGAGGGAAGCGTGGAAGGAAGGATGCCAGGAAACCTTGCAAACCTGGTCTAATTCCACCTAAAATGCTTACTAAGGGTTTATGGAGTTAGCATTTAACCAGTATGATAATGTAAAGAAATAGAAAATCTAGCTTTTTTCCTTCCATTTTTTTTTATTTTTGGAAAGGTTAATTTTAATAGTGCATGTATTTAAATTGCTCCAACTTTTCTGGACTCGCAGTGCTATATTTAGTCCATTGAGAGTATTACTTTTGGTATTTTATTTGACTTACATGCAGGCCAGAAGAGACCTCAGGATGCTCTTATTGTTCTGTGATATTTTGAGAGATTGTCATTGGATTTCAATGTGTACGGGTGCGATCAATTATTTCCCTTTGACACTGCTATTATTACATACATATTCTTCAGTTCATGTGTGCTAAATTTGTTATTGATCTTTAGAGCAGTATAAACAGTGTGCATTTATTTAAATGTATATACATGCACAAGGAGGTAATTAATTTACTTGCTATTGATTTGGTTTTGATTCTGGCACACTGTTCAACATTACATTTTGTTATTTATACAGTAATGTTCTGATGGAAGTTGTAAACCCAGAACTTTAGTAAGCTTAGTTTTGCTGTTGTAGTAAATACATTTGTAAGGCAGATGCTCTGAGTGGTGCTCTCTGCACCTATTTTTATACAGGGGAATGTAAAATATAACTTTTTTTGAAAGTACAACGCATAAAACTGCTGAATTTACCTCAGCATTCTTGACATCAGCGTAAAGACTCTGTGACAGATCAGGATTCAGAATGATGAGGTATCAATCGGCTAAGTTTAATCAGTGAGGAGCCCCAATGGTACTATTCAGATATTTAAAATTACATGCTTACTATTGTACTGATGTGTATGGCTCCTCTACCAGGAATATCCAGTCAAACCAAGACAAATTCCTGCAAATTCAAAAGCCAGACTGCTCAAATTAGCCATTTGTATATGCTGACCTCTGAGAGGTTTGAGTTACAGATGCTGCTAAACTATGGAGGCGATCAAGATTCACTATGTGTTTGTGCTGTCTCATAGACCATACATACATGTGTATTTACTTTTGGACATGCATTGAAATGAATTGCTTATTCATGAGCCAAGTTCTGCATGAGCAAAAGAGAACCTTTCTGCCCTATTCCTCCTGACAGCCTGTTTTGTGTCAGGAGAGATAGTCATGCATGCTGTGTATAAGGACTGTGCTTACAGCTTATCATTTTATATTACAGCACCACATAAAACCAGGAAGAAAGGTTCATTCTGAATAATTTTCATTTATCAGATTGTCAGGGTTTTATCCCAGCTGGCAACCAAGTGTCATGCAGATGATCGCTCGCTCCCTGCCCCACAGTGGGATGGGGGGGAGAGTCAGAAGTAAACCCCACAGATCAAGAACAGTATAATAACTGAAATTATGTAAAACATAACAATAACAGTAATAATAATATAGTGAAATAAAACAAAGAGATAGGAAT